TAATCCGAACATTCGGAAATATTGGCACGAGCTTCGCGTCTTCATTTTTGGCAATTTTAATCTAGCCTTCATTGTTATCCAAATCAACCGTTCCAATTCATCTCTCTTGGTTTTAGTGGCCTTACTACTTGTAACTTTCAAATTAAACTGTTTTTATTGGTTAGGTTAATTAGGTATGTCATTGAACCACTGAAAGTAAAATGGTAAACAGTAATACAAGTTGCAATACATAGGATTGGATATACAGTGTCCGCCTATAAATTGTGTCCAAAATCAGGAAACAGTGAACCTGTTAAAAAAATGTTTCTTTATGAAAACCAGTGCATTACATACATACATTACAAAAGTAAACCATAAAGTACGTATTAAAAATTATAATAATGCAACTGAGATATTTATCCACGACAATTGGTAAATATAATACATTGTAAATCCGATCCATCGAAGTTATGTCAAACGCAATAATCAATTAATCCCTTAATTTTGCAGCTGGAACGTGTCAAAGTCAAATCATTATTTATTTTATTTGCTTTACGCATTATATGAAGAAATAACTTGACTTGACTTTCTTACAGTTTCAAATTTTGAAATGAGCACAAATTAAAAATTCGTGTATCTCAGTAATCTACACAATTTTCAATAGATACGAAAGCTACTATATTTAAAGTGAGTTATTTAGAAATTTAAAGATATTTTCAATTTTTTCGTGGTTAACACTTTTTTTTATTGTATATTTATTTTACATTTACAATTGGCTGTAGTCACCCAACCAGCAAGTTTGATAAGTGATTTATCGTATGCGTGTGGATAACGCTCACTAGTGCTACACTCTTTTTTCTTCATTGTCTATCCAGTAGGTTTCGTTCTCTTTAGTCTTTTGATTTTCGGTATTTGTGTCAAGTTCTTAGCCAGTTTGTTAGGATGTGATTCTAGTTTGTTATTGTATGTTGTCACGTATTTTTGATTTCGTTCTTTTACGTATTTTATTCCTAGATCTATATGAAAAGCACTAGGTGCTTTGTTTTGGTACATCTGGACGACATTTAAATTACTTTTTTGAACTCAGGCTCAGAACTGGATATCGTACATTCTTAGTTAACATCGATTCAAATTATGTGTAGAAAACCTATAAGATACTGTTTGTTAAAATGTCAGTTTGTTACAGCTTGTTCTAATTCGTATCTATTGTACTAAATTCAGGACGAGGTTGGATTAAGATTAGGGTAGCTAAGTGGATTGTTGGAATTCAGGTTAATGCCAGTTTATCAAATTATTCTCTTGGTCAGTCGGGCAAGTAACTATTTCTGCAGCATCTCGTTTTGTGTTCGAAGCTGAAACCTTGTTAGGTTGTAGAATACATTAGAGAGGATTAGACCTCAGGCTAAGTTTTGGGCACAATAGTTTATAATTTTTAGGTCCTTCAGAAAACAACATTTGTTACTTTCAATAGCTTTTGACTCGTAGCAGAAATAGGACCCAAGGAGTCATTACATTCTAGCCACTTTTTTCTTGATTTATTGCCAGTACATCTGGGGTCAGAACCCTTAGCCGTAGTCGCAGAGTCTTTTGTTTGCATTTTCCATTCATGTCGAGGTACTCCTTAGGTTTATTACTCGCTACGGTCATTTTGGGAAAAACCCAATTTTCACTACGTCATTTTTTTTGCCACTTCTACTCAGTATTTGTCATCCAATAGAAACATCATTTTTGCTATCCCTTCCAAGTTCGAGGAAGTGTGAACGCCCACTCCGAGCTTTCCTGGATCGCGGAAAAGCGTCGGAGTGCTAGATATTAGACATCATCAGACATTAGAAGTTATTCATTAAATAGACATTAGACATACAAAATACAAAGTTCAACATTTACACAACTCTAAATTCATACATTTAACTTACACAAGTCACTCACGATTCAATAAAGTTCGTTATTGTTAAACTCGAAGTCAATCATTCAATACAGTCCACTTATATCCGACTTTGAGAATTGTCACAAATTCTACGCGTCAGAGACCGTCGCTAATTATTGTCGACACGACGACGCACATACAAACCTAAACAGTGCTGTTTATAAATGTTTCTTTGAAGTATTCATTACAGGCTGCAGTGTTCGGATTTACATTCATGTATAGAAGCCTCATTCTTAACCGGAATATGCATATAAATAAAATATAATAGGTTTTCAATGGATTCGATATAGATTTCGAGGATAGAAGGATTTTGGTTGAAATAGATATAATTTTTATTCTGATTAACTGTCAAGAGTGTCTAATATAAGGGTTCGCTAAAATACATATGTACAATCTAGCCCACGAGAGTATGTCGGCGATATTTCTGTAAATGTTTATATACTCGTAAAAAATTTTGTAGTGAATCTGTGCTTAAAACACTAATACGTTCTTCTTTAGTAAAAAATCCAGTCTCTGTCATTGGCATTTACAACGAGACACCGTTTTATAATAGTATACTCGCGATTAATTTTTTAGTGTAGGATAGTGGTAGCGATCTTAACATTTTTGGAATATACGAGGGTTGTCCGTAAAATAAGGTTCCCAAAGAGCTGCAGTTGCAAGGAACGGTGTTACGCGGGATCCGGCGACACTGACGTGTAGCTTGGTCCTCCCTCTTTCAGACCCCGCCACAGCGAGCTGTCTGCGACTCTCCATTTTAGCATGAGAATCGCTCGAAATGGAGCTCCCACTCGCTTCTCCCGCTAGGTGCGAATTACGCTCTGTGATTCGTTTTTTGTGTGCAAAGAACATTGTAGCGGTGGACATTCATCGCCAATTATGTGAAGTTTACGGAGAAAAGTGTATGAGCGTAAAACACGTGCGAAAATGGTGCAGGGAATTCAAAGACGGACGTACAGACGTCCATGACAAACAGCGTTCCGGACGGCCATCGGTTCTAAGCTACCTTCACGGTGTGGCGGGAGAGTTCCATGAGGCGGGCATAAAAAAGATGGTGCACCGCATGCAAAGATGCATTGACCTGAACGGCGATTACGTCGAAAAATAGGGGTAAGTCTAAGCTTTCCAAAAATATATTACTCAATGCCAATAAACATGTTTTTCATTGTGAAAAATCATTGGGAACTTTATTTTACGGACTACCCTCATAGTATACAAGTGTTCTTATTATGATCATACATCTTTCACTCCACTTGTACTTCATAAGGAACTAGACATTTTCAATAGGGTTTGCATCAGGGGATTGCAATGACCAAGGAAGTATGTGATGGTGTTTTTCGCTTTCCATTAGGTACAGATGCGACTTCGATGATTAGTTGTTTTCTTGTAATATCCGTTAGTCCTTCATTTGATTGAACCAACGCAACGTTCCGCGGATGTAAGAAGTCCCCTTTGGTACAATTTCACTATTTTTTTGTACATTCTATGTAAAGACGCACAAAGTCTCGAAACCACATGTGTTAAAACAACTCTCAATCATCTGTTTTTCATGGATATATGAAGCACATCTGATATGGCACCATGTCCAAAACAAAGATATATCAGTAAAGACCATATTACTCCAATTATGCTCGCTATTTTCATCAACTCGCGCCAGACGATTATAAACATGCTTTTTTTTAAAGCAACCTTATTGACAGCCTGCTCTGTCACGCGACATCAAGTTCGTCTAAACGCAATTTTGATGTCGTTGCACATTTATGCATTTTTCAGTTAAAAAATACTTGCCTTTCTTATAGTGAAAGAGTCAAATTTGTCTCGAATAGCTCGATACTCCTTTGACCACCGATTTGGGAAGTCACTGACATTTTTTATATTTTTGTACCGGTTTACCACTTCTTGAAAAACTGTGTCGATTTATATATACATATATTTGATTGCACTCATGAAACTCAATTTTGGGTGGCAACATAAGAACTCTGCTTCAGAACTGTTTCATTGTACACTATCCTGTCGAATAGTTCTGTTATTTTCAATGTCTCAAACGGAACTAAAAGATATTTACTCCACGTGTAATAGAGAGGTCTGTATTTGTTCACATTTTCTTTATATCACCTTCATTAGATGTTAGGTTTCGTAGATGTTACCGACACGTTTTTGTGGGACAACCTATATGTGCTTTCCACAAAGTTCGATTTTCTAAAATAGATTGTCTTTCCTTAAAACTACAATATGAAGATGGGAAGAAGATGCCTAGAAAAAATACGAGTCTTCCCCGTTGTATCGTCACAGTATCTTGCATTTTTACTGTTTTTCGAAATGGTTTATATGTATGAATAAAGACTGAGGCCAAGTTTGAACTAGATTTTTTCGCAGAAGGAATTGTATCGTGTTTGGTATAAAATTGAGGATTGTATAACGCTAATAATGAATGTATATATCTTCTTCAAAACCTCGGTCCCATTCTCGAGAAAGTCAGGTCCGAACAACCCTTATTAAACAAATGGCGCAAGTCAATTTGATCCTTTTTGAAATGTGAAAATGACCAGTTTAAGCCACATTTGACCGGAATCTAGCCATTTCAAACTAGAATCCTGTTTTCTTTTCGTGGGTATTTAAGAACAGAAACACAAAAATAAAAGTCTTCGTAAACTCGGAATCAAAGAGGAATCAATAAAAGAAGTGATGAATAAAATCGCTTTTATTAGTCAGTATTGCCAGTAACGCAAATGTGAAAAATGGAAGGGTTGGATGACTGTGTCCGTAGGACAAATACCAGATGATAGTCATTACATAACTGCAACAGCTGACGCGACGATGGCGCACACCAGACTCGCACGTGCAGAAGTATTAGATTATCTGTCAGAAACGGACCTTTGAACCCGATTTTCTCGAAAACGTGGCTGAGGTTCTTAAGGAGATAGATATTTATAATCGGCGTTGCGAGACGTTTAATTTATACCAAACATGACCATAATCCATCATGTGTAGAGTAATCAGGAATATTAATGGTAAAGGGTGAGGTGTATCAAATAAAATAGTGGGTGCGATTTAGAAAATACTGCAATGTTTTACTACTGACTTTTCACGACAAATGCCAATACAAGAGTGTCTTCGTAGACACGATCTCGTCTTGAGGACACCCCCGTTAACATGGCTGCTTAGGGCACTTGGGCCCAGCGAAGTTTTCCTGAGGAAGGGGAAATGCAATGACAAAAGGCACATGACCTGTGTCGACCGTTCGTCAATTTCTATTTTCTAACACATGCGAAAAAATCGTGCCGTAAAGTAGTAATTCGGAAAAAAATATGTTTATGATATAACCAAAACCTAAAATAATTATTGTTCCTAGGCGAAGTCGTTCTACGCAAATTATATTTGATTTACAAATTATTTTGAGCTAATTAATATTTCCGCATCGATCTAGTGGGTTAAACAATTTGGAGTTTGGAATATTGCATATTTTACTCACAATCGGTCTTCTTTCTTTGTCTATTCGAGCTTTCAAATTCATTTGTTTATTTAAGTTGTATATAAAAGGCTAAATGAAACCTCGACTGTGGAGGTTTAAACAGGCATCTCTATAATTATGATATTTTTCAGTTAAAGTTATAAAGTGGTGACGATTATTTTAGAAAAATTCCATATGTTCAATTCAGACCATTTTTCGAAATTCCATTACAGCCCCCAAATATTTTCGTACGTCTTCTCATTATTGATTTTGCCTGAAAGTTGGTATAAAAAGGTTTTTACAATTACAAAAAATGTTTTATCTATTTTTTACATTCTTATCGTTTACGTCGGTAGGAAATGTATTTTTATGTCAGAAATGATGGTTATAGAAAAATACTTCTTTACTAATACTAATTTTACGAATAATCTCATATTTATTATAAATGGCTATTTTTGTTGGAATTAAATTTGTACAGATTATTGTTAATAAGACTTTGGAACATACACCTATCTATAATTTTTTATAAATTATAATAGCTAAAGTTTGTTAACAGACGTACTAAATGTCCCAAGAATACTGGAAATTTCTGTAACCGTAGATTCTACTCGCGAAAATAAATCGAAAACTTTCTAACCATTCTACAATTTGCAGTTCTACTTCCGAGATGGCAATGTCAACTTCCAACAGGACCGTTTCAAACAACTGATAGCTAAGCAAATAATCCATATTGTGTCTTTTTCTAGTGTTGAATCAAACAAACCCATCAAACAAGTGTAACGACTCTGGAACCTAAGTTCAGATAGTTACTAGCGCTAAGAAGGTAAAGAGCGGCTTTTACCAATTAAACGACTCGTTTTGGAAAATAACTAAATCTAAAGATTGTGGGATTCGTGTGGTGTGCGGTTAAGGAGTGAAATCCACAGGTCAATATCTTTCAACAATAAGGGTTTATTCAATAAAATAACGAAGATGATGAATTTAACAAATAACAAGTAACAAATAACAAAATATGAAAAGTATACTGGTTTGATTAAAGAAACTAGAATAGATTTGATATAATATTAATAATAGAAATAACAGAACTTGGCAAATTGAGCAATACGTAATAGATAATTATGAATCTAACTAAATGACTCTCGCTAGGTAATACTTTATATTAGATCGTACCTAAGTCTGTTTTCGGATGAAGCTAACTTCGCTTTTATATAATTAATTGAATTCGATATTCTATATTATTCAGGCCTCGTTTCGAACGCTATCGCAATTACAAAGTTTATATTGATTAATACGTTTATAATTTATATAATGAAAA